ACTTGATAAGCATTGCTTTATTTTACCTCTAATACACAATTTTGCCATTGTTCCACCATAAATGTACCAGTCTCATACTATCCAATTGCCATTCCTAGTCCAAGGAATGTACGTGACACTCTGTGTGAGCTGAAAACGCAAAAATTCATCGGGAATTTTAGAAATACTTGAGCCCACATTAATATTACAGTTAAGCGAATACATCGCCTGTATCAAAGGTTTACAAGTGAAACGGATTAAAAAGGAGGAGTACATAGTGTCTGACAGGGAGTTAGAAGCGCTGAAGGTTTACGGCGAATAGTACCTTAGCACGACTGCAATACAATTGAAATACCATAGTTAAAAGTCGGCACAACTGTCCGAGGGCACGCAGAAATGGAACGCTGATCGTAAATAGAGATCAGACGACCGATGTGAAGCACACACACAACACTCGAAGGCAACACAACGTCACCGAGACCAGAAGAAGAACGAAATTCGAAGATGCAAATATATATTATGCGAGTTAAAACAAATGTACAAAAGAGGACGGAAACTAGAATAGGAAATTACAATGAAAAGGTGAAGAATTTATAAACACTACAGGTCTCCCCTGCTAGAGCTTGCGTCCACAGGACGAACGCCCGAAATTTGTGTGTTGTTGGTAGTCATTAGATTGGAAGGCAAAACAACAGCGCGTTCTGAGCCTGCGTGCTTTGGTGCGTATGGTTCCCTCACTGGTTCACTTGAGGATGTAGATGGGGCACACAGGGTGCACGCACTCGCTGGGTAGGTGGGATACTGGGAAATGTCTGTTTGGTGGCTTACTGTGATGTTTTAGTTTCGACGAACGCTGATTTTAAGTGATCAGTGCTCAAAGTATCCTTCAAACCGTTTCTGTCCAATATGAAGTATTTCTCTTTTCGAGTAAGAACATTGAATTGGTCCTCATTCGGCGGTGTCAGTTGTTTACGCACCGCATCGCCGCGCGCAAAAACAAAGGGCAGGTATGCAGCTCAGGGTGCACTTGCTGACTTCGAGTGCTGAATCGGAGCGGTGTTGGCCGGACTGAAGTAAAAGGTTGTCGCAGTCGTACCGCATATGAAATCGGGTTTAGCTCGCCAGTGATGCTGGAAGCTAACACCACTTCACCGAGAAGCCTGAGAGTTGTGCCGAAAACAAGTTCAGGGCTGCAACAACCTAGACCTTCTCTGACCGGGTTGCGCAGGCCGAGAAGGACAACTCGCAGCTGTTCGGACCAGTGCGTGCTCGATTGTGATGCGGTAATTGCGGCTTTCGGGTGATGATGTAAACGCCCAACAAGACCGTTGGCGGCTGGATGGTAGGCGGTTGTTCGCAGATGACAACGGCAGAGTAAACGATTGAGGTCTCGAAAGAGAGCGGAATTGAACTGAGGACCTCTGTCGCTTGTGATCGTGGCTGGGGTGCCAAACATTGATATCCAGATTTCAACGAAGGTCCGCGAAACAGTTTCGGTGGAAATGTCCCGTAAAGGTACCGCATGAGGCCATCGTCTGCAACGGTCTACACAGGTCAGCAAATACCGGAAACCATTGGATGGACGAAGTGGTCCAACGAGGTCAAGGTGCACATGTTTAAAGTTAGCGTCGGGTAACCCAAATGTGCCGTGTACGGTGATCGTGTGCTGGTTTACCTTACTAGTTTGACAAGTGACACAATGCATCGCCCACTTTTGGATGTCGGAACGCATAATGTGCCATACGTAGCGGTCGACGCTTAGGTTAACCGTGGCTCGAATGCCAGGGTGGGAAAGGCCATGCAGTTGATAGAAAAAATATTTTCCAGAACTGCTGCGGAACAAAAAGTCTTGGCTTTCCAGTCGATAGAGCCCAATAGACTTTAGAATCGGAATTAACAGTATGCAATTGAGTGCGTGTCAATGAAGTGTTTGTGCGCAAAGCTGCGAACTCAGGAGCGTCTTCTTGGTGAGCTGCAATATCTTCGAGGTTAATGGCTTGGCGTGAGGTATGGTGGAGACCAATCCGTGATAGTGTGTCAGCAACAGTGTTGTTAGTAGCATCAACGTGACGCATGTGCGTCGTAAATTGTGATGGATAGTCTAACAGACGAGTCTCATGAGGTGGAACGTGATCTGCAGAAGCGCAGAAGGCAAAAGCAAGCGGTTTATGATCAGTAAGGATAGTGAAGGTACGTCCTTCAAGTAGATGTCAGAAGTTTATGGCAAGTTAAATAGCCAGAAGTTCGCGACCGAATGTGCTGTATCGAGTTTGAGCAGACTGAAGCATTTTGGAGAACCAGGACAACGATTCAGATCGGTTGTTGATCAAAGGCTGTAAAACGACGCCAAAGGCAGTTTGTGATACGTCATTCCTGAAAACGGGAGGTGCATCAACATCGTTTTTCATGTGACTAAGCGCAGTGGCTTTGGATAACGCCTGCCTGATCCTATCAAATGCCACAGTAGCTTCTGCTGTTGTGTCAAACCTTCGGGACTTGCTTTTTACTAAATCTATCAGAGGCTGAAGTAGCCGGGAACAGTCTGGAATGAAACGTTTGTGATAGTTGACCACCCCGAGGAAACGACGCAAACTTTTGAATGACTGAGTCATTGGGTAATCTGAAATTGCCTGCGTCTTTGCGGGAAGTAGGCAAATACCATTTTGATCGATTCTGTGACCGAGAAAATCGACACAGGATTGGCGGAAAATACATTTGTCAACGTTAATCGCCACGCCATACTGAGAGGAACGCTCGAAGATCGGACGGAGATGTGACAGGTGTTCCTCATCTTTGGAACTGGCGACGTCATCGACGTAAACCAAGACGAAGTCTAGCCCTCTAAGGACTTGATCAATGAACCGCTGAAAAGTTTGGGCAGCGTTTTGCCCTCCGAAGGGCATACGGACAAATTCATAGGAGCGAAGGGAGTAGTAATGGTGGTCTTTGGAATGTCGTCAGGAGCGACAGGAATGTAATGGCATGCACGAACTAGGTCTATTGTAGAGAAAACAGGCCTTTTGTGCAAGCTTCTGGCAAAATCATGTGTGTAGGAAATTAGTTATCTATCGGGAACAATGATATGATTGAGCGTACGGTAGTCGCCGCATGGTCTCCAATCACTGGCCTTCTAGGGAACCAAATGAAGTGGAGATGCCCAGCAGCTTTGGGAAGGGCGGATGCACCTGCGGTAAAGCATATGTTCGAACACTCTTTTGGCCGCTTGTAGTTTGTGCGGTGGAGGACGTCTTGGCTTCGCAGACACAGGAGGACCGGTTGTATCGACATAATGACAGATGCCGTGCTTGGGCTCCAGAGTGCCGTCATCTGCTCTAACCAGGGAGAGAAACTGTTTCACTACTGACGAGTAGCTTGACTCTTTAAGCAGAAGTACTTCAACCTTACTGGAATTAACCGTAGCGAGCTGTCCGGAGACAGTTAACGACGAAGTACCATCTCGTAGCTTGCAAAATCGCAGTTCTACGACTAGGCCGAATTTGGTGAGAAAGTCAATATCATTGATGGGATTCTGTACATCGGCAAGTAAAAAGATGAAGGTGAAATTACGTCGTAAACGAAGACTAAGTGTCAGCAGTCTCTGGCCATACGTCGCGATCTTGGTTTGGTTAACTGCATGTAAGGTACTTCCGGATGGTAGCGGAGCACGTTTTCCAAGGAGCAAGGTATAACACTCACCTCTGCGCCAGTATTAACCAAAAAAGTGGACTTTGGTGGTGGAGTCGAAAACGTACAAGAGGCTACTAATGGTTTTTACAGCAGCAGCTGTCGCCATCACCGGCTGGCCTTGTGGTTTCCCTGCCGAGAATCCAATGAGGTCTTCGGGTATTTATAACCTGGACGACCATTGCGAGCAGCATCGCCGAAACGGCGGTGGAAGTGGCAGTATGATCGCGATCGGCTGGTGCGAAATTGACAACGGCGCCTACTCCCTGAGTTGAATCTGCGGTTAGCAGGTCGTTGACGACCGATGTGAGACACAGCGAGTTCTAACCGAGAGAGCCATTCACTAATAGCCTCAAGTGAGGTACTTCAGGATTGAATAGTGGAGCTCAGTCCAGTCACATTTTCACAGCAGATTTAAAGGACCGTTCATGAACATTGTCGGCCACTTCGGCTAGGTTGTCCAAAGGGAGTTTATTAGCGAGGACTGCTGAAATCGCCGTGGTGTTTGCTGGAAGGCAACTAATCCAGATCTGTCGGAGTATGGAACCATTCAGGGTCGAGGAACCCACAACTGAACGCATGTGCCGGAGGAGTTGAGACGGGCTGCGGTCTCCAAGCCCTATGCTTGAAAGTAGCATGTGTAACCGTGCTTCATCGGAAGCCATAGTGCCTTTTAAAACGGTTGATTTAAGCTTGCCATACGGCGATTCAGTCGGCATCGTATCTAAAATATCGATCACCTCCGAGGTTATCTGTGAAGGTAGGTAAGCGGTGACCTTAGAAAATATCGATGGTTGCAAAGTGACCTTACGAAATCGGAAAATGGCCTCCACCTGAATATCCCAAACACGAGGGTTCGCAACATCAGAGGTGAGTACCGAACAACCAGTGGAGTTTTCACACGGTTCCCCGGGGCAGCGTAGTCAGACATAAGGAAAGAAAAAAGTAAGGAAAGTAATCAAAAAATTTAAATAGACGAGGTCGCCAAATAGTGTCTGACAAAGAGTTATGAGCGCTAAAGGCTTGCGGAGAATAGGACCTTGACAGGATTGCTCACGGTCAGGTTACAATAGTTAAAAGTCGGCGCACCTGTCCGATGGCACGCAGAAATCGAACGCTGATCGTAAATAGAGATCCGACGACCGATGTGAGGCACACACACAATCATCGAAGGCGGCACTTCGTCACCGAAACCAGAAGAGGACCGAAAGTCGAAGATGTGTAAATATGTTGTTGTGTGAGTTAAAACCAGCATACAAAAATGGCGGAAACTAGCAAAGGACGTTACAATGGAAATGTGAAGAATTTACAACCGAACAACCTCCTCGTGATGCCAGCTGGGGGGGGGGGGGGGGGGGGGGGGGGGGGGGGGGGGGGGGGGGGGGGGGGGGGGGGGGGGGGGGGGGGGGGGGGGGGGGGGGGGGGGGGGGGGGGGGGGGGGGGGGGGGGGGGGGGGGGGGGGGGGGGGGGGGGGGGGGGGGGGGGGGGGGGGGGGGGGGGGGGGGGGGGGGGGGGGGGGGGGGGGGGGGGGGGGGGGGGGGGGGGGGGGGGGGGGGGGGGGGGGGGGGGGGGGGGGGGGGGGGGGGGGGGGGGGGGGGGGGGTTGGGGGGGGGGGGGGGGGGGGGGGGGGGGGGGGGGGGGGGGGAGGGGGGTGAAGGGGAATGATTTGTGGGAGGAGGATGGGGAATGGAAGGGGTGGGGTTTTAGAATGGCTAAGAGTTATCTAAATATAATTAGAATATAATGTATAGTAAAATAAATGTGAAAGTGGCGGATGTGACTCGCCACAAAATAAAGTCACTGGCCCGTGGATATCCGGAAAGTGCTATCCAACCCAAGGACATCAATCGCTTATGCTCACATTCCTGACGACAACAAACATTCAAAAATGCTGCGGCACATTCAAAGACACAAGCTACATTCATACACAATTACATACGCATATACACCCATACACTTACATATATTGTTATGCCAAAACAAGTACTTTACTCACAGTCAGTGTATG